CTGCCCCGGCACCATGCGCGCTGCCCGGTGGCTCGGGCTGGGGCTGCTCCTCTGGCTCTGCCGCCCCGCCGAGCCCTGGTACCGGCCGCCGGCCGGACCCCCCCAGTACTCGGTGGGCAGAGCCTCGGGGCTGCTCTCCGGGCTCCGCCGCCCGCCCCACACCCGCCGCTCCCACACCGACGGCACCGTACCGCTGTCCGACCCGCCCGCCCGGCTCCACGCCGCGGTGAGTACCGGGGAGACCCCCCCCGGGGGGCTCGGTGGGCGCTGGGGCTGCTCCCTGCGGGACACCGGGCACGGGCTGTGCCAGGGCTGGAGCGGGGTCCTCTGCCCGCCGGGCACCGGGGCTCGGTCAGGGCATCCCGGTTCCCCTCGCCAGCCGGTGGTGTGCGTCCCGGGGCCCCCCGGTCCCTGCTGACGGTCTCCCCGCAGGCGCTGTGCGTGACGGATGTGGCCCCGGAGCTGCGGAGCTGCTGGGAGCTGCCTGGAGCCCCCAGTGCCCTCCGGTGCAAGGCAGACGTGACCGTGTCCTTGGACCCCGTGGAGTGTGCAGCTGCTTGAGACGACACCAGTGGCTTCTTGGTGACAATAAAACGTGCTTGAGCTGGCTCTACTGTGTCTGTCCTTGCAGGGGAGGGAGGTGCTGTGGGGTGGGATGGGATGGGGTGGGGTGGGGGGAACCCCTTTCTGTAGCTGCCCCAGGTCAGACCCCAAAAAGCTGGGGAAGGGCTGGGGGGGGGGGCTGGATGTCGCACTGGGGGCTCTGGAGATGCTCCGGGCAAGAGAGCAGTGACAGCCCGGCTGGGAGCACCAGGGGTGCAGTTACAGCTGGAGCTGAGTGTGGCCCCCAGCCTGCAGCTGTGGGGGGGTCCCAGTGTCCCCAGGGAGATGGGCAGCCCCATCCCCTGCCTCTTCATGGGCATTGTGGTGCCCACCTACTTCCATTCAAGCCTCTGGGCTCCACCAAGCCATGGGGACCCTCGACAGCGCCGGGGTGGCTCTGGCATTGCAGCCCCTCTGCGCAGCTGTTTCCCCTCCTCCCTGAGTGCTGCAGCTGCTCAAACGCCTGGCAGAAAACAAATCACCCACTGATTGTGACCAGCAAATTGCCACCCTGCTGGCAGCCCTGGGGGCCAGCCCCACAGCATGGTGGCTGCAGGGAGCCCGTTGGGCATCACGGTGCCGGGCTGAGCCGTGGGGAGCAGCAGGAACCGATGGGGCTTTGCTGGGCGGTGAATGACTGCAGGCAGAGCACTGCTGTCCCCGTGTCACCCCAGCTGGGGAGGGTCCTGCTGACCCCCCTGCACTGCAGGAGACCTGGGCACAGCCCCCACATGGCACCGGGGCACCTCAGCCATGCTCTGGCAGCAGGACACGGCCTGGACAAACATGGTACAAGGAGCTGGATCCAGGCTTTTGGCCAGGGTGGCGGTGACCAACAGTGATGTGCTGGGCATCGGGGTCCATTCACCCCATCGCTCCCTCCCGTGAGTGGCTACTGGGACCGTGGGGAACGAGCTCCAGTGGGGTCTGGCTCCCCACACCGGGATCTGGGCTGCTCTTGTGAGACTCAAGGCACCTGCCACAACTGTTCCAGCTAATTAGTTCCCCTTAGAGAAACACCGGGCGCTCGCTGCAATCTGCATTGCGGGGTGTGGGGGGGGAGCTCCTCGGGAGGGGGGCAGGAACCAGAGTCTTCAGCTTCCCCACTTGAGGAAGAGGGAAAAAAAACCCAGAACACAGAAAACAAAGTCAGTCACAAACTTGAAATTCATGCCATATTCCACCCCCCCCGAATTTTAACTCCACGCTCACATTTGCCCCGAGGGACTTGCGGGTTGTCAGTAAACAGATGCTTAGAAGATGGGCCCAGAGGCACTTGGAGAACAGAATATCTTACGCAGAAGTTTTCAGAGTGAATTCCAAGACAGCTCTCCAAGGCCCCGAGGAGCAGCAGCTCCACCGCGCTCCGGCTGAGCAAGCGGAGCTGACGTTTCCACGCAAATAAGTGGTACCAGCAGGCGAGCACCCGTGCCTGACGAGAGCAGAAATAAAGTACTTTTGTCATTTTTTTTAATAACAACGGTACCTGTTTGGGTCCCAGAGGCAGCTCATTTACATGCAAATGCTCAGCCCGGGGTAGATGCGTCACCACCCGCTCGGTTGTTTGTTTTTCATGACAGACTCTTCTGCAGTCTCTGTGGGAGGGGGGGGCCCGCAGGCTGCAGAGGGGTCTGAGCACTCGGTAGCAGGGATGGGGGTGTCCAGGAAGGGGGTGACAGCTCAGTGTCACGGCTGCTTCAGGGGCGAGGAGCAACTTTACCTGCTCCGGGCGGCAGCGCTGACGTGCAGTGGGGTTTTAGGGGGGCACAGAGGGACCTGGGGGCCGCACAAAGGGGGTCCCTGTGCCCCACGGTGCTCTCCCTGCACCCACAGCAGGGAAAGTGCTGGCCCGAGCCACCCTCCTGCCAGCCAGGATTCACCCCACTCCCACCCCCCAACTACAGTGGGATGAGGACCGATCCCACAGACCCTCAGAGCGCTGAGACCCTCAGCCAGCATGGACTCACTGTGATTTCTGCTGGGGTGTAGCTCAACAGGGAGCTTGGGCACAGCCTGCAGAACAGCCCCTTCCTTCAGGAGTGAATCCCTGACAGCAGCTGCTGCCTTCGCTCCGGAGGGGAAAAGCCCTGGTCCCGGCTGGAGAGCTGCAGCGGAGCAGCCACTGCCCAGCAGGGACAGGTGCTGTGGGATGGGGTGGGGTGGGGGGAACCCCTTTCTGTAGCTGCCCCAGGTCAGACCCCAAAAAGCTGGGGAAGGGCTGGGGGGGGGGCTGGATGTCGCACTGGGGGCTCTGGAGATGCTCCGGGCAAGAGAGCAGTGACAGCCCGGCTGGGAGCACCAGGGGGGCAGTTACAGCTGGAGCTGAGTGTGGCCCCCAGCCTGCAGCTGTGGGGGGGTCCCAGTGTCCCCAGGGAGATGGGCAGCCCCATCCCCTGCCTCTTCATGGGCATTGTGGTGCCCACCTACTTCCATTCAAGCCTCTGGGCTCCACCAAGCCATGGGGACCCTCGACAGCGCCGGGGTGGCTCTGGCATTGCAGCCCCTCTGCGCAGCTGTTTCCCCTCCTCCCTGAGTGCTGCAGCTGCTCAAACGCCTGGCAGAAAACAAATCACCCACTGATTGTGACCAGCAAATTGCCACCCTGCTGGCAGCCCTGGGGGCCAGCCCCACAGCATGGTGGCTGCAGGGAGCCCGTTGGGCATCACGGTGCCGGGCTGAGCCGTGGGGAGCAGCAGGAACCGATGGGGCTTTGCTGGGCGGTGAATGACTGCAGGCAGAGCACTGCTGTCCCCGTGTCACCCCAGCTGGGGAGGGTCCTGCTGACCCCCCTGCACTGCAGGAGACCTGGGCACAGCCCCCACATGGCACCGGGGCACCTCAGCCATGCTCTGGCAGCAGGACACGGCCTGGACAAACATGGTACAAGGAGCTGGATCCAGGCTTTTGGCCAGGGTGGCGGTGACCAACAGTGATGTGCTGGGCATCGGGGTCCATTCACCCCATCGCTCCCTCCCGTGAGTGGCTACTGGGACCGTGGGGAACGAGCTCCAGTGGGGTCTGGCTCCCCACACCGGGATCTGGGCTGCTCTTGTGAGACTCAAGGCACCTGCCACAACTGTTCCAGCTAATTAGTTCCCCTTAGAGAAACACCGGGCGCTCGCTGCAATCTGCATTGCGGGGTGTGGGGGGGGAGCTCCTCGGGAGGGGGGCAGGAACCAGAGTCTTCAGCTTCCCCACTTGAGGAAGAAGGAAAAAAAACCCAGAACACAGAAAACAAAGTCAGTCACAAACTTGAAATTCATGCCATATTCCACCCCCCCCGAATTTTAACTCCACGCTCACATTTGCCCCGAGGGACTTGCGGGTTGTCAGTAAACAGATGCTTAGAAGATGGGCCCAGAGGCACTTGGAGAACAGAATATCTTACGCAGAAGTTTTCAGAGTGAATTCCAAGACAGCTCTCCAAGGCCCCGAGGAGCAGCAGCTCCACCGCGCTCCGGCTGAGCAAGCGGAGCTGACGTTTCCACGCAAATAAGTGGTACCAGCAGGCGAGCACCCGTGCCTGACGAGAGCAGAAATAAAGTACTTTTGTCATTTTTTTTAATAACAACGGTACCTGTTTGGGTCCCAGAGGCAGCTCATTTACATGCAAATGCTCAGCCCGGGGTAGATGCGTCACCACCCGCTCGGTTGTTTGTTTTTCATGACAGACTCTTCTGCAGTCTCTGTGGGAGGGGGGGGCCCGCAGGCTGCAGAGGGGTCTGAGCACTCGGTAGCAGGGATGGGGGTGTCCAGGAAGGGGGTGACAGCTCAGTGTCACGGCTGCTTCAGGGGCGAGGAGCAACTTTACCTGCTCCGGGCGGCAGCGCTGACGTGCAGTGGGGTTTTAGGGGGGCACAGAGGGACCTGGGGGCCGCACAAAGGGGGTCCCTGTGCCCCACGGTGCTCTCCCTGCACCCACAGCAGGGAAAGTGCTGGCCCGAGCCACCCTCCTGCCAGCCAGGATTCACCCCACTCCCACCCCCCAACTACAGTGGGATGAGGACCGATCCCACAGACCCTCAGAGCGCTGAGACCCTCAGCCAGCATGGACTCACTGTGATTTCTGCTGGGGTGTAGCTCAACAGGGAGCTTGGGCACAGCCTGCAGAACAGCCCCTTCCTTCAGGAGTGAATCCCTGACAGCAGCTGCTGCCTTCGCTCCGGAGGGGAAAAGCCCTGGTCCCGGCTGGAGAGCTGCAGCGGAGCAGCCACTGCCCAGCAGGGACAACCAGCACCAAGGGCTCACCGGGAGGGAGATGTCCCATCCCCAGAGCCTGGGGAGCGTCTCCAGCCAGGCAGGGGTCACAGCAACAGCCTTTCTGCCACAGCCACTGTCCTGCCACCAGCCAGCAAGGCAAGACCTTCCTACTTGTCAGCATTAATAAGGTCTCCCCTCAGCCTTCTCTTCTCCAGGCTAAAGAGCCCCAGCTCTCTCAGCCTTTCCTCATCAGGGAGATGCTCCAATCCCTCCATCATCTTTGTTGCTCCAGCAGTTCCCTGTCTCTCTTGAACTGGGGAGCCCAAAACTGGACACAGGATTCCAGTTGTGGCCTCCCCAGTGCAGAGCAGAGGGGGAGAATGACCTCCCTTGACCTATTGGTCACACTCTTCTCTACGCAGCCCCGTTCCTTCTCACTGAAGAGAGTGGCAGGCGTTTGGGATCACTCCCACACCCCCAGGGCTGCCCTTTCCTTTCCTCCAGCTGCAGATCTCCCTGCAGACCCCCGGGGACAGGAGAGCATGACATGGAGTGCGGCCACCAAGGCTGGGAGCAGCGAGGACCAGCTGGCCCTTCCTTGCCCTCCTGTCAGTGGCCTTGAGGCTGGAAGGGAGAGCGGGGAGCAGCCCAGGGTGAGGGACACACTCAGGACACCATCCATGCTCAATGCAGCGCAGGGATGGGATGCCATTCCTGCTGCAGGCACCTGAGGGGCTCCAGGTTCTCTGTTCCCTCCTCCCGGGGCTTGGCGGGAGCATTCCCACGCAGGTGGGTGTCTCAGCTCTTGTCACGGATGACACACTCATTACTGAAATGCCAATATGCAAACGCAGGCTCTGGGATTTGCAACTACGCAACTGTGAGACCCCGAGCTCAGCGGGTGATCCGTCCCCACCACAGCTCTTGCAGATGCTGCTTTGGCATCGCCACTCACCAGGTCACCTCCTCCCTCCATAGCCACCACGGCTACGAGCCCACCGAAATGCTGGGGCACTCACCTTCCCTTCCCAGTGCAAATTCTGCTGCAATTCTAGAGTCCAGAAAGCATAAAACCCCAGAAAACGGGAAAGACCGGGCCTCCTCACACAGTCTAGTTCAATTTTCTAGTGAATTCAGCAAAATCCTCCTCCCAGAGGGAAAACAAATGGCTGCCTCCAGCCAGAGGGACCCCTTACCCCTGCACCAGAACAAACCCAACATGTCCCAGTGCCCGAGAGCAACAGGCTTGTTCTTGGGCCACAGCGGCTTCTTCCCAACTCCCACCAGAGACCCCGGGAGGAGCTGCTGCAGAAGAAATCTCCAGGCAGGGACTGTCCCCTTTCTGCCACCCCTGTTCCATCCCCAAAGAGACCAACACAGCACTTGTCAACGTTTTATTAATGATCAGCAACAGAAGTTTACAACAGAGAGAACAGGACCGGTGCGGAAGGACCGTCCCGCAGAGCGCGGGGAGCGACAGCCACCACAGCACCCTGGAATGTTGGAGGCAGAGAAAGGGGCTCAGCCCAGCACCCGTCCCCCTCAGCCCCACATCTCCTGTGGGGCCACACATGCTGCGCGCCCCAGCCCTCGCACAACAGCCCCGACACTTCACTCCCTCCTTTGGGAGACCCCCTGGGCGTGAGGTGGGCACCGGCAGCAGCAGCACGAGGGCTCCGAGCAGGGTCTATACGCAGCACCGGGTCCTGCTGCCTCACAAAGGGTAAAGCCCCCAGCGTGCCCCAAAATCCCTCAAACCCACCAGGGAAATGGCGGAACTGAGGGTCCCTGGGCCACCTGCCCCTCACAGCAGCCGCCACAAACGATTCACCGGCACCAGAGCAGAGAGAAGATTGATCCAGCTCAACCCAGTTCTCACACAGAGGCCCGTGGGCACCTCCTGCAGCCACACAGTGATGGCCCAGTGTCCCTAAACCCAGGGCTGGCAGAAGGAACCACAGGTGCCACATCCCTTCCCTGGGGAGGCCACTCTCATCCGTCTGTCCAGCCACCCCCCCTCACCACCCGACGGGCCACTCTGGGACACAGACTCCGTCAGGACAGATGGACCTGGAGGGGCAGAGGGGGCCTGGGGGGCTGCTCCATTTCCCCCCCTACTAAAAGCCAGAAATGGCAGAAGGTAAAAGCACATCAACATGTTAAAACATAGTTATGATTAAAACCGTTTCGTTTTGTTTTTCGTTTGTCAAATCTCCTTCTGGGAAAGGGGACGGAGGCTGATTAACGGAGGAAAAGCTAGGCAGCAGGATCCTGACTCGTTATGTCTGCATAATTAGTGCAGGAGGAGCTAGGACAGAAGAGGGTAGGATAGCACATCCTACACGCCGGCAGCGGTGTCCCCATTGCGGGGTCCCCTCTGGAAGGGCTCTCTGCTCCCCAGGAGGGTGAGGCTGTGGCGCTCAGCGACCCACACGTCGGCTCTCTGCCGACCTAGTGCTTCTCCTCCTCCAATCTCTTCATGGCCTCCAACACTGCCAGCTCTTTCGCTTCCTTCTTCTGGTTCCTGGCTTCAAACTCCAACCTGCATCAACCACAAAATGCCATGAGATTCTCATCCACCCATATTTGTAGTAGACAAAAAGCACCTGGAGCAGAGGAGCACTGCCGCCTTCTACACTGCTTTGTTCTGAGAGTACTGCAGAAACCTCACCAGGAACCCCCTAGACTCTTCTCAGAGCCAGCTCTTAGAGCTCACCACAACCACTGCCATCACCCTGCAGCTCCAGGCTCCCACACTGGCCAAACACGACTTATTTCTCCCTCTGGGGAAGATGCTGCTCTTCCACACTTGGTCTGTCCTGGGACAGACCACTTAGTGCCGTGATACCGAAATCAAATTTACCACTGACCTGAGCCAAGGTCACTGGAAGTGAAGGGCTCAGGCCTAAAAGAGCAAACCCTGAAAGAAGGAACATGCTAAATCCCCAAGAACACAGCAAGGAAATTCTATCATTAATAGAGGGGGAGGAGGAAAAATAACAACATGTGCTGAGAAGCACATTCAGACATAGCAGAGTTCAGCTATTCCTTTTCCTGCACAATCCAGTATATCCACATTTAAGCAGCCTGCCCAAGCTGTGGAAGATGAAGGACCATTTCACTGCTTCTGTGCCTTTAGATAAGCCCTTCTCTTCCCGTTTGATCCCAGTCCTCACACAAGCTGGACGGAACAGCATGAGAAAGAACTGGAAGATGAAGAAAGCCAACCTGTTCTTGATGATTCTTTGCACAATTAAATCTGTGGTGAGATTGCTGCCACTGTCCACCAGCTGGAAAATGCCGCGTCTCTTGGGTTCCTGTGAACAAACACCCAGACTCAGCCACGGAAAAACAGGCAGGACCTCTGGGTTCACAGCTCGGGAGCGAAAGGCGAGCAGAAGTCATGGGAGGTCCTGTGGGCACCCAGCCAGGCACGACACAAAGTTATCTCCAAGGGGGCAGAATAAATCACTGCTGAAAGCAAAGCTTCACCTATAGGGAAGCTGCCCAGGTCTGGCACAGAGGAAAGATTACAGGATTTCTCATTCTGCCATGAAGGCATCAGAAACAGACAAAACAAAACAGTGAATAAGAGAATGGAGCTGCAGTGAATGATTTACAGGCTCTGCTCCAAGCACCTGCCCTCAGGGATGGATGAAAAACAGCATCACCTGCCAAGGACTTGCCTGGGGAGCACCCTCTGCAAGATGAATTGTCAGCTCAGGAACATGAACAAATCCACACCGTATCTATCAAACGCTGACAAAGAAACCCAAACAATAGCAGCCTGTAGCTTACCTCGTATGGATCAGAACCGTCCTTGTCTGGCACCACCTCAGTCATCCCATGACACACAAGTGTTACCTGGAGAAAGGACACAAAGTCATTGACAAGACCCGAAAGATGACAGGGACCTTCCCTGCAGCCTGGAGATCAGCAAAGTCCCCCTCCTCTACCAGGCCTGGCAGTCCTTCAGAGCCCACCGTAATCCTGCTCTGCAGGATCACCCCTCTTCTACACCCCTGTGCTTTCCTGCACCACCTTCAGCTCCCCAAGCACATCATACCCCAACATCTTCATGTACACCGATATGTAAGGACTCTCACCTTGAAGTGATCCAGCAGATCAGCAGTGACAGCATAGGGGGCTCCAATCACCACTTCTGAGACGTACTAGAAAATAA